CCCTACCCATCTATACTCAGTCACATGGTTAATAGCTAGGGTTTCCATTCTAAAGTAGCTGTCTTGATTTTCCCAATGGAAGTGCAGTATTCGTGTCCAGCCTATGACATTGGTAACATTGTTCCTGTTTACCAAGCTGTTTGAAGAAACTGCGGCTCAGAGAAAGGAAGTGTCTTTGCCCAAAGTGCCCCTGTTAGAAGTAGTAGAGCTCAGACTGGCCTCCGAAACCCTGGGCCTGCATCTGGGTCTGCTCCAGTCCTCAAGGCCCTGGTTGTCCCCTCTGTCAGAGGCAGAGAGGATAGAGCCAAGCTTGAGAATAACAAATTATATCCACTACCATGGGCAGTGTAAGAATTGGAGGCCTCAAAGAGCCCTTCACCAAGCTCTTGGCATAAGTACTGTTATATTCAAACTTTATTGTTAAATTGTCAGACCTCAACCGTCATTCTCTACTGGGAAGCTGAACCTGGAAAGGCCAGAGGCCCTGGGTGTCTGAAGATTGGAAAGAGGAAGTTGACATTTATTGAGCACCTATTTTAATATTACTGGTGAACAAGTAACAAAACGGTGTGGCAGAATCTGGAATGGGGTTTGCGATCATTCTTGGGGGTGGCAAGCCTTTGGGGAAGCCTTCTCCAATGAGGTGACACCTGGGATGGGGAGTGCATGAGAAGTTTACCAGACAAATGGGGGAGGAAGGAGAGGAGGCAACATATAAAGGGTTTTATGGGATGCCGGATCTGTTGTATGAAGATTTAATCTTCATACTCCCACGTGGAAGGATATTCAACTTCATTTACAGAGGGGGATCAGAGGATCAGAGAGGTTGAGTTACACAGGCAGGAAACAGCAGAGTTAGGAACTGAAACGACCTGTGACTTAGAGCCAGGACCTTTTTCACTGCGCTCAGGAAGGCTACAGAGGGGAGAGGGCTCAAGACAGACCCTGAAGTTGTTCACAGTAGGCGAGGGGATAGTGGAGAGAAGACAGAGAGCAGGGGGACCAGGACAATGCCATGACCAGAGAGGAGCCAAGGAAGATGCTTATGTCACTAGAATAGGCTGTGGCTTTGACCCTCAGCCTCCCATTAGGGTAGATGTGGAGCAAGGATCAGAGCCTCAGCCTCAGAGCTCAGCCAGGAGTTCCCACCGAGAACAAGGGACAGAGCCCGATAAAATGGGGGAGGGGCCAATGTGGGCTCCGCCCCCAACAATTGTGTCGGGGGAGCTAGAGGATGAGGGGCCCGTTGCTAGCCAATCAGGACGCGGCATGCAAATAAGCAAGCGGGGATCTGCCTTGCGGCGACCCCAAAGCCCAGTGTTGCCGCCCTTCAGCAAGTTCTCCTCGCTCTGGCTGACTCCTAGCGAAGCTTGGACTCTGGTGAGAGGATGGGCTCTGGGCCAGGGACGGACGCCAGGGTGCCCCATGTCTGGGAGGGGAGAGGGTCAGAAATGGTCAGAGACAGGACCTCGCCCCCGACGACTCTGGACACAGATGGTGCGCAGACGCCCAGGGGACTCCGAGCAGAGAAAAGGCCAGACACGTGAGGGACGTAGGTTGTGGGGAACGAAGGACCTGTGGCCCCCTGGACCACTGATGCAGTATCCAACAGATGGACAGAGGGAGACTCAAACTCATGGAGGCCTGAGGGGACCCTCATACCATCCCCCTGCCAGTAGCAGAGAGGAACTCATGGCTGCACTGCAGAACTGAAGAGAGAGAAGTTGGGCAGCAGGCCGGGTTACTGGCATAATGACCAGCTGCCGCCACCACTCGGGATACTTGGCAGACGATGAGGCCGGCCATACCACGTACTTGGCCCGGGTAAGTATGCCCAGCAAAGCCTAACTCCGAGACCCCCACTGTGTTCCTCACCAGTTCCAGCGCCCCTAATCACTGCCCCCCTTTCTCATTTCCTTTTGACTTCCTGCCTGGGCCTCCTAGTGATGTCCTTATCTCTTTGATCACTCCTCTGACCCCCTGCTGGGTCCTAGTCCTCATCAATTTCATTCCCTGTGTCCCCTTGACCTCCAGTGGCCTGGGAGGGCTTGGTGAACTGCCTCCCCAAGTGAGAGCATAGGGTCTGCTCAGGGCCTAGGGGTCCAGTTGCAGAAGCAGTCATGGGGTGTGCAGGGCTCAGGACCATAGGTGTTCTATGCAGCCCAGCAGTGGAACAGGGCTGGCCTACTCTAGAGATGAGGAGCCCAAGTGGGATTTAGAGGGGTTTCGTGATTACCCACTCACACCCTGTGAGAGGACAGAAGCGGGCTTTCAGACTCCCTGGTTAGGGCTTGTGTATGTGAAATATATGTGAAATGTATGTGTCAGGGAAATTTCAGGGCAATCCTAAATAGATCTCCACTTTGCAGAAAAGAAAACTGGACCTTGAAAGGGGCCATTGTGCCCATAGTCACACAGCCTGAAAGTGGGAGAGCTAGGGTCCAGACCCAAGGCTGCCTGACTCCAAAACAGAGTTTCTTCCACTGCTCACTCCCTACCCAGTTCCTGGTACCCTAGGAAGACCCTGGGGACCCTGCCTCCTGTGGGGCATTTCAGCCCACTGTGACATGCCTGTCTACTCAGGTTCAGCCGCATAAGAAGCCAGCATTCCCGGAAATGGGGCAAGCCTCTAAGCTGGGCCACGTGCCACATCCACCGTCAATGTACGGCCCCTCGGGCAGCTCAGGGCTCCACAGCCACCGCCGAAACTCAAAGGGTCCTCGGCCCTTTGGTAGCTTCCTGGATTTCCTTGTTGAGGGCCAGGTGCTGGACAGCCTGCAGACCGTGGTGGAGAAGGCAACTGAGCGCATGGCCACCATGAAGACAGAGGCAGGGGTGCCACTGGTGGAGGTGCAGGACCCAGTGGAGGTGCCAAGGGGCGGGCGACGGGTGCGTGCCCGGCCCAGCCTCAGTACCATGCACCGTCACCGTGTCCGGCCCAGCCTCTGCATTGGGAACCCCAACAACTACCCATCCTGCTCCAGCTCCATGTCTGACTCCCATAGCAACTTCACAGCTGGCTGGCCGGGCTCCCACAGCCGAGACAGTGACATGGGCTACCACGGTTTGGGCCCACTGCCACCTAGGAGGGACAAACTCCTGCAGGAAAAGAGCCTCAAGCGGCTGTTACGGCTGGAAAACAGAGGGGTGAGATCTGGGACCATGGGGTGGGTAGGATGGAGCCCAGGGCCAGGGCCAAGCCTGGCTTGGCTCCTCCTGGACACCTCTGAGAGTTCCTTTCTCTCTGCAGAAAAGCCTGGGGCAGTCCTCCCAGAGGGACTCCCTGCTGTGGGACTCTATGGGCAGCCAGTCCAGCAGCCAGTGGACCCCAAAGCAGCCCCTGTCCTGGTTCTCAGGCCTGCTGGGTTCGAGCTCAGGCACGCCTGAAGTTTCAGATCTGGGGCCTACAGAGCGGGAGCTGATTTTCCTCAAGCGAGAGTTCAACAAGGAGATCAAGTCCTTGCTGAGCCAGCCAACATCCTTTGACCTGCCTGGCTACTGTTCACTCCGCGAGCCCCATCGGACCCTGGACTTCCTGGCTGAGCACCGCCTTTTCCCTGCCCTGCAGAATGTGGTCAACCAGGCTGCGGACAAGCTCAGTGGTGCCCGCCGCCAAAACGGCTGCCCTCTCTTCCCATCAGAATGGGAGCCCACCACAGAGCCCAACTTGGAAGTCATGCCAGGCTCTGAGGGGGCCTCACTCACCGAAGGGGAGGAGCCCTATAGTTATTCCCTTCCTACCACGACCTCCAGCCTCAAAATGGTTCACAGAAAGAGCATCAAGTCCAAAGGAGGGGGAAAACCCAAGGAAGGTGGTTCCCCCATGTCTAGTACCCAAGGAGCCACCAGATTCCGGCTCCAGGTGACACCTACAGAAGAGTCCAAGGTTCCTTTATCCCCTCCTAGGCAGGAGGTACCTGACCAGGACCCTAAAGTACAGAGATCACCCGTGCCTGTTTCTGGGCCCCTGAGCTCCAGTCAGAGGGCCCAGCCCTGGCAGAACCTACACATCACCTTGCCTACCCCTAAGATTGAGGTGGAAGTGCCCTCTAGCCAGAACCACCTCACCGAGGTCACAGCTCCACTTGTCCCCCCCGACTCTCTCTCCTCCTACCACCTCCCTCTGTTCTCATCACTCACCTCCTTGATAAGAAAATTCTCCCTATCTTTCTCTTCATTGTATCCAAAGAAAATCTCAAGAGTGGAGCCGGGGAACTTAGGGACGGGTTTGCAGGGGAAGGGGCCTTTCAGCCACCATTCCTAATGGCCACTGTCTCTGGCAGATGCCCATGGTTCAGGTCTCTTGCCCTGTACTGTGGAAACCACCAGAGCAAGGGACAAGCTGATGGGGGACCAAGAACCCTGGCCTAGCTATTGCCAGGTGTTGTCAAAGATGAATAAAGGCTATTTTTAATTCTGGGTATTTTTTTAACATTTGCACGTGAATCTTGGAGACCTTCCCATGTGGGGAGGGTCCTGTCCCTTGTGGACAGTAGCCTGATCCCAGAGTGGGGTCTTGCATCCTAGGTCTAGCACACTCTGATTCCCGCTGCCTAGGACAGGGCTCCAGTGTGTCTGCCCTGATGACAGGAAGTCGCCCAGGAAGAGTATGGAGCTGTAGGTGGCTTCACCCTGGGAGGTCTCCAGCACAGCCTCCAACCCTCCTCTCACCCATTAAGTCCCAGACATGCTTCCCAACTCTGAACCCTGGCCTGGGTGAGAACCTGCTAGAGTCCAGGTTGTCCAGACTTCAGTCTGGCTGACACTGTGACTGCGGTCGGAGGCCTTGCCCTAGGCCGACTGGTGTGGCCAATGTGATGACGGTGTGGTAAGTGTGAAGATTGGCAAACATGCCGGACCTGTGCTCAGCTGTTAAAGGGAACAGCAGAGCAGATGTGTCGAGGCTGTACCTTTAGTGTGCCAGGTGTGGTGTCCATATGGGTGACAAGTGGGGAGCTGTGGATGTGAGGGACATCCCAGGGTAGGAGGAGTGACATGATGTGTCTCCCTTCCCTCCCTGGCTGCTGCACAGAGCCCCAGTTACAAGTTCGTGAAGAAGAAGACCTTGCCCTCCATCTCGTCCACCGTGCCCCATCTCTCCAACCCTTGGTACGAGGAGCTTGTCAACTACTTGATGGAGCAGGCTGTCTCCTTGCTCATCTGCAAGTACAAGTTTGAGAGGAACCTCACCAAGCAGCTGGGCTTTATCTCTAAACTCATGGACCTCCTCCTGGGCTTCAAGAAGGTGAAGGGCTCCCACATCCGCCTGTCTTCAAAGGTTAACTGGAGCTGCCTCCTGAAGAAGCTGGAGGAGGCCCAGCAGGCCCAGCAGGTATCCCAGCCAGTGTCTCGGCCCACGTCCCTACGGGCCTCCCAGCGCGACACTTCCCAACGTAGCACTTCCCAGCGCTCTGCTGCCCACCGTGGCACTGCCCACCCCAGCACCTCCCCGCACAGCCCGGAAGCCCCCTCCACATTGCCCAAGCCGGCCACGGTCGTGGATCAGGAGACGGCTGCAGAGCCCTCCCTCCACACTGAGTCACTGGGCTCCCAGCTGCCCACCCCTCAGGAGAAGAGTACAGCTGAGGAGCAGGAGCCCACAAGCCTGTTGGAGCCCAAGCTCATTACTGGCGTGGGCTCCAACCAGCATGAGCAAGCAGTAGATGTGGAGGAGGGCCAGAGCAATGAGGAGGAGGAAGAGGAGGAGGTGAAGGAGGAGGATGAGGAGGAGGATGAGGAGGAGGAGGATGAGGAGGAGCACGAGGAGGAGGACGAGGAGGACGAGGAGGAGGACGAGAATGACGAGGGTGAGGACAAGAACTACGACTTCTTTGGAGACGAGAGAGAGACCCAGAGGCCCCCTGAGCCTCAAGGGGTGGCTGAGGTCAGTCATTCCTCAGACAGCCCTGGAGACCCTCAGTGAGGCCTCCTAAGCCACTGAATTTCCTGCTCCTCCTCCTGCTCCATGAGAATGCTGCCCCCGCCCCCGCCCAGCTGGCCCCTGCCAAAGCGAGAAATAAAGATTGTGTTGATAGAGCAGTTTTCTTGTCTAGAGATTTCAGTCTCCCTTCCACACACCTGCACAGGTGCCCTTGAGTAGTAGCACCTTTCATGACAGCTGCTAGTGCTGAGCTCCATGATCTTACGTGCTCTGTTGAACACAAGTCCCTGGCTTGTGGCTTTTTTTTCACTCTGGTCTGGACCTTCCTGGCTTTTCAAGTCTCTCAGGGCTCACAGTCCCCTTTCATCATGGGCCCTGTGCATCGTGACTCCTGCTTCCTGGGGGCTCCTCCTCTGCCATGGTGGCTTCCTCCTCTCTCTGATGTGCTACACCCTCATGTTCTGACGGAGATACCACCCTCTCCTGCTGCTCCCATGGCCACCTGTCTTCAAAATTTGTATTTTCCACCTCCAACTCCTGAATCTGGAGGTTTCATGACAGGTCATATGGGGGCTGCTGGTCAATCAAGCTATGGATTGGCTGCCCCAGGCTGGCCACATGACTACCCCTTCTTCGGCGGCCCTGGGCGCTCTCTAGAAAGATCTGTAGGCATGGTGGGTTTCATCTCCAATATTCTCCTACGGCTTCTTGCCTTCCTGTGCCACAAGCTCAGCACCGTCGTTCCCTCTGCCTTCCTAGGACAGCCTGTTTGCTCCCCTGTTCGGGCTTCTTCACCCAGGGACCAAGTCAACCTCTCGCCCATCCCCACCCTTTCCCCACAGCTGAGAGAACACATTTAGGTGCTCCACACTGCCTCACTGTGCAGGCTGCCATTGGGGGGAGCCTGGAAGGTCTCTCATGCCTCCCCTTGAGCCCACCCAGGGGCAGAGAGGCCAGGCCTGCTCCACCGAGCCTGACTATGCTCAGTGGCCCACAAGTGAGGGCACAACTGTAGAGCTTCCTCTGAAACCAGGCAGGGTGAACCTTCCACCCTACACCCATGCCCTGTGATTCTGAGAGGAAGACTTGCTCTACTGCCAATCAGAGGGACCAGGGTCCTAAGGTGGGGGAGGGAAGGTCAGGCAACCATTCTTCACAGAGCTCTTTTGACTAGATTCTTTCAGGGTACATGCTCAATTCATAAGACCCATTTCCTGAGGCCACCCACTGCCGCCATCACTGCAGTGTGGGGCCACAACAGCCATTTTCATACCTTATTGCCATATCACTTGGCCACTGTTGGTTGGCCCTATTGGTACATCCCAGTCTAAGCTAAGCCTGTCAGGTTCTTTCCCAGAAGCCTACAATTGAGATGCACCGAGATATTCTGGTTCAGTTTGCACTGAAGGCTGAAGACAAGCCTGGGTGGTGTGAAGCAGCCATTTTCCATGTCTCTGCAGAAAGGTAAGAATTCCTGATGGCAGAAAGGAGCCAAGAAGGGGGACCCTAAGGCTCTGAGAAACAGCAACTGCTGTGATATCCTCCAGTTTCACAGGTCCCGTTGCCAAGTTCTTAAGGGAGAATTGAACATATCCCCATTTCAGCTTTAGAGGCACATGTCCAGGGACTGTCCCTGGGGCAGAAACAGCCCCTTTGGGAAACACTGGCACATGGTACTAGAGACACATGACCTTAGGTCCTGTTTCAGACATCTGCTGCTGTGTAAGAAACCACTCTGAGACTTCAGTGGCTTCAAACCGTTTGTCATGATGTTGGGGTTTGACAGCTGGCACAGGTGTAGGCAGAGTGGTTCATGTGGCTGCTTTCGGCTGGGGGCTGGGTTGAGGCTGGAATGTTCCACATGATTTCTCCTTTTCCAGGGTCTCTCTCCATGTGGCCCCTGAGCTTTCAGTTGTCTAGTCTACACTTCCTTACAGCATGGTGCAGGGTACAGCCACTGGCTTCCTAGAGAGAAGGAGCAAGAACTACCTCTGCTCTTGCAGCCTGTGCTCAGAAATCCCAAAATAGCACTTCAGCGGTGTTCTCTTGGTCAAAGTGAATTGCAATGCCTTCCCTGATTCAAGGAGAGGGGAAATGGACTCCATGTCTTGGCTGATTGTACCTTAAGCTGTTCCTGGAATCAAGTAGAGCTGAAGACAAACTGTGGCCAGGAAGTGGAGGGCCCTGGAGATGCCATAATTGGCCCCGTGCACCTGCCTATAGGGTGAGTTGGAGAAGGTGCTCTGTAGAGGAGGTGGGAGAAAGGAACAGCTAGGAGAAGCCATGAAGCCCCCAAGAGAAGCAAGGGAGAGCCACATTGTCATCCCCTACTCTAGTTCTCAGGTCTCTATTGTCCTATGAATCCTTTCTTTGCCTGTCAGAGAGATTACTTGCTTTGTCCTCACCAACCTCTGGTCCTATGTACAGTGGGAAGCTGTTGGTGACTTTCAGCAGGGGTCTGGCATGATCTGATTTATGCTTTTTAAGGCATAAGTCACTTTGTGGAGAATGTCTTAGTGGGGACCGAGTATCCCCACTAAGCAGGGAAATCTGTTAGGAGATAGTGGCAGATATCTGGAGGAGAATAGAGTGGTTCAGATTAAGGTGGTGATGGGGGATGCAGGAGGAATGCCTCACATTTCTGACTCATATTGGAATCAGAGCCATCAAAACGTGTTGGATTAGATGTGAGGAGTGCAGTAAAGAGAGGAAACAAAGATGAATCCCAAGTTTTGGGCTTGAGCAACTAGTGACTGGAAGTGTCATTATGCGGAAGCCTGGGGGAGGAGCAGTTTGAGGGAGGAGACCAGTAATTCCGCTTTGGACATATTAAGTTTGAAAAGTTTGTTAGTGTGTCCGACAGGACGCATTCATTGCTTCCCAAATTGTACTCTAATCCCTCTACCCTGGATTGGATGCCCCTCAAGTGTAGAGTCTGCCAAATCCAGGGCTGACCTTTAGCTATTTTAGATACTCTAGCTCTGGAAAGATCAAGGTGCCCCATGCCATATGTAATTCAAAATAAAAACAGTACTAAACATTAAAACCCTAAAATAATATGCTGTCAGCCTATTGGGTAATATAGCCCAGAGCCAGTTCCCCTTAGGCCCCAGCACAGGGCCCAGAGTGAAGTTAACATAAAAAAGTTCCACTAATGAATAAATAAACAGTGGTGTAAGTTTCCCACCCTCGAAGACTGAGAAGGCCGTGAGACTGGCACCTGCACATGTAAGAAACTAAGGGGACACATTCATCCAGATTTGGTTCCTACAGTCACTTGGTCTCCCAGGTTTTTGGTTTCCTGACAGCTTTGAGGCTTCCTAGTGAGAACACACTGTTATCCTTAACACCACAGCTCCCTGCTACCCGCTCTGCTGCCCAACGGACATAGTGCCTTAGAAAGAGTCCGTGAGTGGTCACGGGAATTCAGAAACCCCAGGGTCCAGTGACTGAAGTGACTCAATGTAAGAAAGGAGACAATGACGATTTGGCAGAAGTGACTGGGGGATTAGTTAATTCTGGGGTCTGAAGGACCAGGGGATTCAGTATCTGAAATCTGTCGACTTTATGACCACAAAATCTAGCTGTGGAACAACCTCGAGACAGTGCTGCTGCGGACCCAGGGTCTGAGGGGAAAGCCCATGATTGAGAGTTCAGGGATCTAGGATGAGGGAGCTTGGTAAGCAGGGGCTCAGCGGCCGCTAGGTGGGGTGCCCCTCACCTAGGCCGCTCGGGGACAACGCTGCCTCCGCTTGGAGCTTCCTTTGGTAGTCATTGGTGAGTCCTCGGAAGCGTGGACCAATCAAAACCCTCCTCGTGTCGCCAGCCTCCTCCCAGCCGCCGCTCTTGAAAGCTGGAGGAGGTGCCGCCCACGCCGACCCAATGGTAGGGCAGGCGAAGCGCGGTGCAGGCCGGCAACTGGCTGCCACAACGGGCTGTCAGAGCTGGATTGGTCAGCAGCGGAGAAGGAAGCGACCCGTGGGCCCCGAGCTGGCAGAGCCCGGCTGGGGCGATGTGGAGCGTGGGGCGTCGCCGAGCTGCTGGAGCGTCGCTGCTGGGGCTACTGCTGGCGCTCTTGGTGCTGGGCGGCGGTGCCGCCAAGACCGGCGCTGGGTTCGTGACCTGCGGGTCGGTGCTGAAGCTGTTCAATACGCAGCACCGAGTGCGGCTGCACTCGCACGACATCAAATACGGATCCGGTGCGCGGGGCCCGGGACTGGGGCATCGCCAGGGGGCGAGGCGGTAGTGGGGGTCTGCGAGCCAGGGGTCTGAAGGTCATCTGGTTGGAGTTGTTGGTGGACTGAGGGGGACAAGGACCGCCTGTTGGAGGGGGTCGGAGGGATATTGGGGGCAGGGAGGATCATCCTGGAGTTGCGGGCCAAAGGACTTGAAGTTCAGCCAGGGGCCAGGGATGGAGGCTGGGGGTAAGAGTTGGGGTCCCAGGGTTGAGGTTGTCTGGGAAAGTTTATGGTGTCCCGGCCGAGGGTGGCGAGTTCCGGGATTGACAGCGACCCGGGTGTGGGCTGGGGTGTCGCCCCTCAGGAAGCGGCCAACAGTCGGTGACGGGCGTGGAGGCGTCTGATGACGCCAATAGCTACTGGCGGATCCGTGGCGACTCGGAGGGCGGGTGCCCGCGTGGGTCCCCTGTGCGTTGCGGGCAGGCGGTCAGGCTGACGCACGTGCTCACCGGCAAGAACCTGCACACGCACCACTTTCCGTCGCCGCTGTCCAACAACCAGGTGAGCTCCCTCCCTCAGCCCCAGGAGAAGCTTCTGGTGTATGTTGAGGGGCAAACAGAGTCTTGGCTCTTCCTCTCACCCTGTCAGCCTTAGCTGCCTCGGTGCAACAGGCATTTCAATTCAGAAATGTTTACTGAGCGCCCCCTCTGGGGATACAGAGGTGACTGGTACAGAGTCCTGCTCTCTGGAGTTCTCAGCTCAGCCGGGAGGCAGATAATGAAGAGTGATCTGACTCTGTTGGATAGCTCCACAACTGGGAGCAAATTGGACCCAGGAGGGGGATCCACATGGGCTTTGGGGTGGGGAACAGAAACCCTGCAGGGGAGGAGGAATTCAGGCTGGTTCTGGAAGGATAAGCAGGAGTCCTCTAGACCACAGAGAGGAGTCTTTCCAGGCCTGGGGAAGAGCTTGTGCATGGAGTTCACTGGAACTGGGTAGGGGGTGAGGAAGGGTGGGAGGTTAGGGAGGGAGTGGGGTGCAACAGAGGGTGCTTTTGGAGTGTTGTCAGGAAAAAAAAAAAAAAAGCATGAGCTAAATAGAGACCTTGACTGTCAGCCTGAGGAGTTGGGCTTCGTTGAGGGTCAGAGAGGTTAGGATGGAGGAATATGGAGGAGAGAAGAGGCTTTGGCTTTGTAGGGGCCAGTGGTCACCACCCATACAGATGGGATGGGGCATGCATGTATTTGAAGAGCCCGTGTTGAGGAGGTACTACTGGGTGCTGGGGTGGGAGTTGTACTGTCACATTTTGCAGCTGTGAAAGCTGAGGCTTAGAGAGGTGCAGGGAAAGATCTGAGGCCCAGTGCCCTGGATGTGAGTGCTGCTGTCAGGCAAGTGACCACAAGGGTCTCAGTGTGCCCTTGCAGTGACTACTGTCCTCCCACCCTCTGCACCCATAGGAGGTGAGTGCCTTTGGGGAAGATGGCGAGGGTGATGACCTTGACCTGTGGATGGTGCGCTGCTCAGGGCAACACTGGGAACGAGAAGCTGCTGTGCGCTTCCAGCACATGGGCACCTCTGTGTTCCTGTCAGTCACCGGCGAGCAGTATGGGAGCCCCATCCGTGGGCAGCATGAGGTACATGGCATGCCCAGTGCTAACACACACAATATGTGGAAGGCCATGGAAGGTATCTTCATCAAGCCCAGCGTGGATCCCTCTGCAAGTCACGATGAACTCTGAGTGCCATGGATGGGTGGATGGAGGGTAGCAGGGTAAGGAGTCTGCAGGGCCACTCTTGGTGGAGACTTTGGGTTTGTAAGAATTCTCAAGTGCCTTCGTTAATTAAAGAATGTTGGTCTGTGACTGTTTTGGTGTGAGCCCAGAAGGTGACCAGGAGTTGCCAGCCTTCCCTGACCCAGTTCACCATCTCTTCCTAAGTGCAAAAATGCTGCCTCCAGCACAGCCTGACAGCTGAACCTGTCCAAACTTTTTTGATGCTTTTCTATGCTCTCCAACACTGTCCTGTAACCCTTAGCTAGTCTGATGCCAAGTGCCCCCTGTTCCCCAACCCCTGAGCTTCATGAACCTTCCTGTTAAGAGTGGGGACAGGGCCTCAGCAGGAGTGGGAGCTCCACTCCTTGCTAGCAGACATGGGGCACACATATTCCAGACCCCTCATCCCTTGAGGTAAGGCCCCTCATTCTCCTGGCAGTTGTGAGAAGTCTTAACACTTGTTAAGTGTTGGAACTCTGCCCATCTGCTGGAAATTAGCATCACAATTTCCCTCACTTTTGATGCAAATGGCACCCCACACACCCCAGCCTGCATAGGCATGTGGCATCTCAGGCCCCCACTATGACCTTCCAAGGAAATGACAAAACTTCAAATTATATCACAAAGGAAGATAAACACAAAGAACTGCTACCTGCAGAGATCTGAGAAAGCTTCCTGAAAGAAAGAGGCATAATTTGGGCAGGCACAGCATTACAACTTAAAGACAGGAACAATAAATAGGAGGCACTAAAAAAAAGTAACAACTCTGCTGGTGTGTGGGTGACCTCTAGAGGTTATAGTGGAGATTACAGTCTTCCTGGACTTGCTAACCACCCAGGTGTGTGTAGGAGGGTAGGGGCTTAAGGGAGCTACTGTAGAGCAGGGGTCCCCAACACCCTGGCAGTGGACGGGTACCAGTTGGTGGCCTGTTAGGAACTGGGCCGCACAGCAGGTGAGTGGAGGGCAAGTGAACAAAACATTTGTATTTGCAGCTGCTCCCCAGTGCTAGCATCACAGTCTCAGCTCCACCTCAGATCATCAGGTATTAGATTCTCATAGGAGCACCTACCGATTCCTGGTGCCAAAAAGGTTGGGGACTGCTGCTGTAGAGGGTGCCACTTTCCTGAATGAGAATAAAAATCCCAGGAGAGTCTGGGTATAGCAACTGGTTGGAAGGGGCTTGGAGGAGTGTGGGCAGAGCACCTTACATTTGAGAAATCAAGTGACTGGGTGTGGGAGAAAAGTTCTGGCCATTTGTGAGGCCTGAGGGGGGGAGGGTGCTATGTAGGCACATTACTTCCCACACTCTCCCCCATGAGCTTCTGCTCTGCTCAAACACAGACCCCTTCTTGACCTCTCCACTGCCAAACCTCTTGAGCATTGTCTACAAGTCTATTCCCCTCTCCCATCACTCACCTGACCTGAGACAAGATAGGAGTGCAAGTAGATTGTTGGAAGGTGATCCTAGAAAACACTGGGGCAGAGGAGTGGGGCTGTGAGAGAAGGCAAGGCAGCTGCTGAAGTTTGCAATGTTGAGCAAGTTACCCCTGTAGGCAATTGAAGCTTATTCCCACTTGGGAATTCTGGGACCCAGTGTAGAACATGAATTAAAGTTATTCCAACCAAAGGGCAAGAAAGTGGAGTGTATTATCCAACTGCTCTCATTGGCTGAGGGCTGCTGGGCAGGCGGGGGAATTACTCTGTAGCACTTCCTACTTGTCCCGGACATTGGGAAGTGTATGTGAGGGTTTTAGTCTACAGCCGGGACAAAAGCCTATAGGCAGAGCTGCAGGATGCTGGCAGTGAGCTTCCTTTCTGTGGAGGTGAGTGCCAAAGGGCTGTGGGCTGAGCACCAACATGCAAAATCAAACAGTGCACAGCATGTAGAAATCCTTGGGAAACCAAGGTGGGAGCAGGTAGGATGGCTTCAAATGCAGGACAAGGCAAAACAACAACAACATCAACAACAACAACAACAACAATAATAAAAACTGCAGCAGCAGCAGAGCTCTCCTTTATTGAACCCTAAATGCCAGGTTCTGGGTCAACGATTTACACAACGGCATCTCATTTGCTCCTTGGCAGCAACCCTATAAAGCAGGTTTAATTATCGTCTTAATTTTGCAGAGGAGGCAACTGAGGTTCCTGAAGATTCAAACCCAGCTCTGCTTGCCTCAAAAACATTTGCTCTCAGCCGTTGGACGTAGAAAATAAGATAGGAGGGGGCCCAGATTTACAGCAGCCTAAGCACCCCCTCCCTCCCCCGCCATACACACATTGCAGCTATGTGAGGGCCAGGCGGTGTATATCCTTCCAGGTCATCAGCCTGCAGTCGGCACTTAATGAATGCTTATCCGCAAAGTGGACCGCAATCACGCAGGGACCCAAGCTCAACACCCTCTTCCCCATACCTCCCTTAGATCCACAAAGCTCCACCGGCTCCAGGACCTGGTCTCCGCAGCCCAGGCCTACCCGGTGGCTTCCAGCAAGTACCGCTCGGGTCAAGCCTGGAGTTGCAGGTAGGGTGGGGTTATCCCCTGAGGAAGCTCACCGCAGCCGAAAATCCCGTCTGGGAGGCACAGGGAGCAATAGCAACACAAAAAAAGCAGCAGCCTGCAGCCCTGCTCCACAGCGGGCTTCACCGTGCGGGTTCGGGCATTTTCCAAAGATCGCAGCCCTCACTCCCTGAGGGTTTCAACCGCGCAACTGGCGCCGCCTACCGAACTTTCAAGCGCTGTCATCCTTGCAGCTAGAAAACTCGCAGACGCTGGAGCTGAGAAAAGGCGGGCAAAGTTCCTTTTCATAAGTTATGAATAGGGAGAAAGTGTTTGTAGAACTCATTGTTAAAACCTCGGAGCCCGAGATTCAGCCTGCGCTCGGCCAATTGGGCCTGGAGGCTATTTTGAAATCGCTCTTGTCGCAGCCAATAGGTGTGCGGGAAGCGAAGCCCCACGCTGATACCGGCGAATGAGCGAGGCGTGATGCTAAGGAGCCGGGGGCCTGGCCCCGCCGACTGTCACCAGGTTAAAGATGGAGCCGGTGGGCGAGAGGGCGCCACGAGGTGCGGGGTAGTCTTGATGCAGACGACGGGAGCAGATGACTGCCGGGATCTCTCTCTCGCTAACTTTCCCCATCATTCCCGGGCCCAGGGCGGAAGGAGTGTCCCGCCGCGTGAGTAGCAGGGTCTGAAGTGGGGGACGGGCGGGACTGCGTGGAGGGGCGCAGCCCGGATTCCACGCGTCCTTTACGAGAAGGGGACTCCAGAAGGGCAGGAACCCTTCTGCCCTTTCCTCTGCGCAGCTCTGGGCTGACGGGCAGCGAATCTGTTGGGACGCAACGCAGAGCCCAAGTTGGGGGCCAGGAGCCAAGGATGGGGGCCGAACTGGCAGGGGCGCATCGTCCCGGAGTAGGGCCACCCTCCTCCCGGAGCCGGGGGGCCGGGTGAGGGCGCAAGGTTGTCGGGCTGTACCCATACCCCGCTCCGGGGCCCAGTGGGCTTTGGATTGCGGTGGAGCACGGGCCCCTGTCCTTTGTGTGTGCGACCCCGCTTCCCCGTCCTCTCCCGTTCGGGTGTTGCAGCTACCACTCAATCTGGGGTCTCTGCACCGCAATCTGGAGCGTGCTAAGGAAGACCCGGATGCCATGGGGTCCTGAGGACCCCTAAGACTGCAGCCCCACTGAAATCCCCACTCCTGGCTCTGATGTCCAGGACAGGGCCGCTAGCCCCACCCACCCAAGGTTGAGCTTTCCACCCTGTATTGGAGGGGTGGAGGTCCACCCTGCTGGCCACAGATGCTCTGACGAGGTTGCACTACTTTGCTCTAAGAAGCAGTGCAATGATATTGTCAAAGCATCTGGGACCAGCCTTGGGGACCCCACACCTCCACCTCTTCCCTAGGCCAGGCCCCTTGGGCCTGCAGGATCCCCTAACCCCCCACCCTACTCCCCTTTGCTCTACTGGCTCCATTCTCCATGGAAACTTGAGATCCTGGCCAGGCCTGGGCCTCTGGGGTCAGAGGGCACCCTTCCCCCAGGCAGAGGCCCCGCCCCAGTGGGCCTGCATTCTTGGTCTCAGATCCCCACAGACCACTGAGAGAGGCGCTGGCAGGCCTGCCTGACACTCAAAAAAAACTACTGTGGGCCGCTGGGAGGCAGTGCAATGATGAAAGGGCATCGGTCAGGTCCAGCCCACCATCCGCAACGCCAGGGTGGAGGGAGTTTTGCTGCCTCACTCCACCTCCCAGCAGTTTAGGCACAGGTGCAGAATTGGACTGGACCCTCTATCAGAATTAGGTGAGTGCAGAGCTGAGGGATTGCCCCACAAACTCTCCATCTGGGTCATGGCTGGACAGGCACAGGGTCAGAGGCCCTGGGCTCAGAGGTCTACTTTGAAGAGGATCTTTCATACCAGCACCCAGGGTAAGATTGTGAACTACAGGTTTGGTCTGGGCCTTGTGGGAAAAATAGAGGCCTACTGCTCAGTATGGAGAGTCTGTCTGGACCTGGCTCAGGCCCAGTTCACCCTTGACCACGTGGAAGTGAACTAAACCCAACCCTCCTGGAAGGCTTGGGGAGGACTAGGCTCAGGAGAGAATGTTCTCCTGGGTTCTCAGCAAGAGCAGTACTATCTAGGGTGGATAGGTGGCCTTAGGATATGAAGCCCACAGGTGATGCCCACCAACTACACCCATCTTGTTCTTTTACAGGGAGATATGCTTCCCTGAGCCTGCTGAAGGGTCTAGCATGCCCACCCTCACAGCTGGAAGTGGGGGGATTGGAGCTGAACTGCCAAGGAGCCTGACCTCAGGCATGCTTGCAGGGCCACTTCCACCGTCAGGACCTGACATAATGCACAAGGTTTTTATGTGCCCAGTGACAGTCATTCAAACCTGTCTCCTTGAAAAGAGGCCCAGGTTCCAAATGGGCATTTTGGAGTATCCCTCACCTCTGACTGAGTATATCGGGATACCAGTTTCACTCCCACCCTGGGTGTAGAAGCCCTGATGTCCATGGAGAGGATGAGGGGCAATGATATATGCTCCCCTGCCTCCTAGGCCTAACCCCTTGGGGTTCCTCCATCCCAAGGCCACCTGACTCAGGCCTGTCCTTTCCCCTGGGCTCCAGGTGCCAAGACTGGAGGTGGCCACCCTTACTATTTGTGAACTTAAGGCTCTGCTCAAATGTTCCCTCCTAGAGGAAGCTTTTTCTGGGCTCCACAGCATCCAATATCTGTCCAGCAGAGCCTGTTAGATCCAAATTTTCTCTCCGTGGCTGAAGTCCTACTAGATTGGGACCCCCTTAGGGCAGGAACCATGTCATTTTTAATCTCTTGGCAGTGACTGGCACAGAGGAGGGGCCCATTACACTTTTTAAAAATACAAATAAAGTTGTAAAGTGTGACATAATATCAGTATAACATGATAGGAGTTAATCATGGGTCTGCTTGACCCCTCAGGATGTTTACTGTTTATAAAAAGGCATACAGTATATACTTTTAAGTCTCATTTTGTAAGTCATATGGGGTCAGGAAGCAGAATGGATATCTGAACCCAGGTGTATCTGCTTGCACGCCTAGGCAAATACATGGGTCAGAACTTCTTACTCCTTGGTTGTCTCCAAAGCAGGAGGAAGTGAATGCCACCTCTTATGATGGGGAGAGCCAAGGCTAGGAAGCTAGAAAGTTTGGCTGTGGGTGGTGAAAAATCTCATTAGACTTACCAGGTGCACTCCACGGATCTCAGGGCTGGGTGTGTGTGTGTGTGTGTGTGTGTAGGACAGGAAGGACGCATTCCAGGTTGCTTCCCGTCCACCTCATTAGTGGCTGGGAAGGATGGTGGTGGTGTCAGCCACTGACCAAGTAGGAGAGAGAGAAAGAAGCTGTGTCCCAATCTAGATAGGTTCAGTGTGAGATGCCCAAGAAACGTTCCCTGTAGACCCTGGATGTGGGTCTGGAGCTCAGGGGAGGTCTGAACCTCCCTGAGAGGCAAGTTAGGCTTGTTAAGTCAGCTCTTGGCTGGGACTAAGAAGTCGGTATGAACGTCCAATATGATATGGTGGAGAGGGAACCTTCTGAAACGCAAAGTTGTGGCTGGAGATGCTGGTGAAGAGACAACAGTGAGGAACAAAGTGGTTACGAAGGGTGGAGGGAGTTTTGCTGCCTCACTCCACTTCCCAGCAGTTTAGGCACAGGTGCAGAATTGGACTGGACCCTCTATCAGAATTAGGTGAGTGCAGAGCTGAGGGATTGCCCCACAAACTCTCCATCTGGGTCATGGCTGGACAGGCACAGGGTCAGAGGCCCTGGGCTCAGAGGTCTGCTTTGAAGAGGATCTTTCATACCAGCATTCAGGGTAAGACTGAACTACAGGTTTGGTCTGGGCCTTGTGGAAAAATAGAGGCCCACTGCTCAGTATGGAGAGTCTGTCTGGACCTGGAGGAGAGAAGACAAATTGGAGAGTAGTGGGTTTGATGCTGGAGAGTAAGAAGAGGAAAAGGGTGAAAAGTCTGAGGCTAGAATCGTTCAGGCCAGAGTGAAATTCTTGGGGTGTCTCCTAGGGAGTGGAAAGCAGGGCTCAGGCAGAAGTACTGGAAGATTACAGACCATGAAAAGGAAATGCAGCAGGTATGGGGAGGGGCTGGTGGCGGGCCGAGGTGGTGAGGACCTTAAAGATGTTGCAAGTGTTAGGACACTGACTGTGTTACCTGGTGTGGCTCTAGGCAGGTTCCCTGCTCCGGGGCGTTCGTCCCTTCGAAGACCAGAGAGCGCATGCCCAGAGGGGCGGGCATTGTCACGTGCAGCCCTCTCGCGAGATTGTTCTGGTTCGCGATCTCCCGGGGGATTGGCTGGAGCGGTTCGGGCGGCGGCGTCAGCAGCAGAGGGGATTCTGTGGCGGCGAGGTGGCCGTGGGGAACAGAGCGGGTGCGTCCCCGACGGGCCCCTTCAGCCCCCGGTGACCCGAGCCCCGGCCTTCGGGAGCGGCCCCTCTACTCCGGCCAGGGGCGGGTAGAGTTGGCGTGCCGGGATCCTCCTTGGCCCCACCCCGACGGTCGCTCCGCCCACAGGCAACCTGGGCAGGCTCTCAACCCCTCCCAGATGGAGGTCCTGGACGAGTTTGACAGCGAGTTCCCCCAGAGTGTGACCTTTTGCCAGCTCATCTCCGAGGAAGACTTCGAGAGGCAGGCGGCGACTTGCACAGAACGCGCACTGCGTCGCCTCTTCCGCAGCCTCGACCGCAATCCGGCGCTGGCCGAGAGGGTGGTGCGCAAGGGCAAGCAGGCCGAATGCGAGCAGCGCGGACTCCTTTCCTTCCTCTGGGTGCGGGCTGCCGTCGGGGCTGCACGCGTGTAGGGTGGCTACCACGAGGGCCAGGGCTGATCTCTGGGGATCAGAGGTGGTGGGGTGGGCACTGTTGGGCCTAGCTGGATTTGCTGCGTAGGGTCTTCCTATAAGTCTGTGACAGCCCAGCTTGGAGAGTGCAGCAGCAGGCATCTCACCCATCCAGCTTCCTCCTGCCCTACCTGTCCTGCTGTTGTTGCAGGCGAAGTTTTTCACCGCAGTCCAGGGGGAGCTGAACTGTTGCAACAGCATGGGCGCCCTGGAGATGCACCAGCGCCTGGAGCAGCTGAAGAGGAGCATCTACCGCGTGCACCAGTACTCCCAGGGTGAGGCTCGACCTCTGCCTGGCTCAGGTAACCCAGCAAACCTGAGTCAGGGCCCCTCGTCCCTGGTTCTAAAGTCTTCATTATGAAAATGAGCAAGTACAAAACTAGAGACTGCATCGAGTACTCAAGTACCTGTCACCCAGCTTCAGCAATTATCCCCATCTTGTCAAGCTTGGTTTAGTTTCTGTTCAACTCCCC